ATTGAAAAAATAGAAACTCTTCTTTGCAATTTTTCAAAATTTCAGGTTAATTAAATTTGACAACTGAGCAAAAATAAAAATCATTGAAATAAAACAATGAAAATAAGAAATTTCAAAAATTTAAAATCGGAAAACTGAAAAATCGTAAAAGTTGGAAAATCCAAAAAAATAAAAACTCGAAAAATTGCAGATCGAAAAACTGGAGAAACGAAAAATTGAAAAATCGGGGAACTGAAAATTTTAAAACTAAATAACTCCCGAAAATTTCTAACAGAAAAATGCAAAATATAATTCAGAAAACCGGAAAATCGGAGATCTGAAAACTCGGAAAGTTTAAAATAGAAAACGAACAATTGAAAAAACGAAAAATTGAAACTCGCGAACTGAAAAGTCGAAAAATTGAAATGTCGAAAAATACAGAAGCTGAAAAATCGTAAAATTGAAAAATTTAAAATTTGAAATCGAAAATGCGATATATAAACCGAACAACTGCAAACTTGCAAAATTTTATAAGTGAAATAGAAAAATTAAAAACTCGAAAAACTGCCAATCTATAAATTGAAGAAACGAAAAATCCAAAAATTGTGAAATAGAAAAATTGTAAAATAGCAAAATTGACGAAATTAAGACTTGGAAAATGCAAAAGTCGGAAAACCAAAAAATTGAAAAATGAAATTTCGAATAATTGCAATTCGAAAAATTGAAAGAATGAAAAAATTGTGTGAAATATAAAAACTGTAAAGTGGAAAAATTGAAAATCGAAAAACTGAAGAGATAAAACTTAAAAATTGAAAAATTCGATTTTGTGCTTTTTCAATTTGTCGATCGTGTTTGCGCAGAAATTTTGTTTAAAGTTTTTCAAAATTTCGGCTTAATTAAATTTTCAAACAAATAAAAAATAAAAATGGGAAATTTCAAAAACTTAAAATCAGAAAACCGAAAAATCGAAAAAGTTGGAAAATTAAAAAAATTAAAAGTTCGAAACAATCCAAATCTAAAAACTGAAGAAACGAAAAACTGAATACAAATTTTAAAACTAAAATCCGAAAATTTCTAACAGAAAAATGAAAAATATAATTCGAAACACTGGAAAATCGAAAAGATGAAATATCGAACAATACAAAAGCTGAAAACTCAAAAACTACGAATCGTAAAATTGAAAAAATAGGGAAACTGAAAATCAAAAAACTGTAAAATGGAAAAATTGAAACGAAAAATTACAAAACCTAGAAATTGAAAATTTTTAAATTGAAACCCAAAAAATTTTAATCGAATAATTGCATAATATGTAATGCAAAATTGAAAAATTGTAAAACTGAAAAATCGACAAATTGATAAATTTAAAATTGAATAAAAGAAAATTTGAAAAATTGCAAAATTAAAAATATAGAAATGCAAAAATTGAAAACACAAAAACTAAAATATCTAAACATTGAAAAACTGTATAAATAAAAAATTCAAAAATCGAAAAATTGTAAACTTGAAAAATTTAGTAATTTAAAACTCGAAAAATTACAAATCTAAATCTGAAACACCCAGAAATTGAAAAACTGAAAACTGAAATTAAAAAAAATGAAAAAATCTGAAAAGTACAATGCGTAAAAATTGAAAAATCAAAAAATTGTAAAAATGAACAATTGAATAATCGAAAAATTGAAAAATCGAAAGAAGAAATGAAAATTGAATAATCGAGAAACTGAACATCGAAAAATTGAAAAATCGAGAAATTAAAAAGACAAGAAATGAGAAACGTTAAATTCTGAAATAGAAAATATTGAACAAATTAAAAAATAAAAATTTGAAAACTTAAAGAAATTACAAATTTGAATTTTCGATTTGGTGCTTTTTCAATTTTTCGATCGTGTTTGAGAAGAAATAATCCAAATTTTATTTGCAGTTTTTCAAAATTTGTTGAAATAAATTTGAAAATTGAAATGTAAAAATTGCGAAAATAAAATAATGAAAATCGTGAACTTTGAAAATTTAAAATTGGAAATCTCAAAATTCGACACCTTGCTAATCGAAAAAGTGAAAACTTTGGGAAACTGAAAAACAAAAATTACGAAAAATGGAAAAATTACAAAACCTAGAAATTGAAAAATTTCAAATTGAAACCCAAAACATTTTTAAACGAACAGTGCAAAATATAAATTGAAAAATGGAAAAATTTGAAAATTGAAAAATCGAAAATTCATCAAATTTATAAAGGAAAATTTGAAGCATTAAAAATTAATATAGAAATCCAAAATTGAAGAATTGAAAAAGCGAAAAACTAAGATCATCAATCATTGCGAAAAATTGTGAATTCCAAAAATTGTAGAATAGAAAAATCGGGTAATTTAAAATTGAAATCTCCAAAATTTGAAATTCTAAGATTGAAAAGTTGGATATTGGAAAAATTCAAAAGCTGATTAGTGAAAAATTTCAAAAATATCTATTGACTATCGAAAATTTGCAAATCTGAAAATGAAATATATAAATAGAAAAACTGAAAATTTGAAGAATTGAAGAAATAAAAATTCGAAAAATTGAAAAATACAAAAGTTGGAAAATCCAAAAAATTAAAAACTCGAAGAGTTGAAGAAATGAAAAATTGATAAATTGAAAACTTAAAAATTTGAAAAATTTAAAACTGTAAACCGAAAATAAATCCAAAAACTAATAAATAAAAAAACTGAAAATTAGAATATTTCCGATTTGAAAAACTGAAGAAATGAAAAATTGAAAAATTGAAAAATTAAAATTTTTAAAGTGGAATAATTTATAATTGAATAATCTATAATTGAAAACCCGATAAATTGCAACTCGAAAAATTGAATAAACGAAAAACTGAATAATCGAAAAACTGAAATATCGAAAAATTAAATAATCGAAAAATTCAAAAGTTGAAAAATCGAAAAACTGAAAGTTTTAAAATTGGCACTTGAAAAATTGCACGTCGAAAAATGTAAAACCTAAATCGAAAAATCAAGAAATCCCAAAAACAAAAATCGAAAAATCGAAATATTGGTAAAACGAAACATTAAAAAAAATAAATCTTGAAATTAAAAAAACTTGAAAACCGGAGAAACGAAAAAACGAAAAATCCGAAAAATTGTGAAAAATCGAATAATCGAATAGCTGATCAATTTATAAAAATTTTAAAATTGGTCAATTCAAAACATGGTCAGATCCAGATTTGAGGATTTCGTAGTTCTGGGAATGTGGGAATTATGTTGTCCTGAGGATTTGAGGATTATGGTGTTTTGAGGATTTGAGGATTGTGGTGTTCTGAGGATGTGAGGATTCTGGTGTTCTGAGGATTTGAGACGACAGATGGGAACGGGACCTATTTTTTCAAACCGCAGGCATCATGAAACATCGAAAAAACATGAAAGTGACCATTTCCCGAATGGAGCCTATTACATTACTTCCTTAGTTTACGCTCGAGAAACAATAGAATTTGCAGAATCAAAGTGAACTTATTTTATTGCTTGTCCTGTTGTGGCGAGGAAAGTTCTTTCCAAATAATTTTAGACCAGTTTTCTCCAACATATTTTTTTCTGAATCTAACATCTAAAAAGTTTTTTAATTTTCCAGGTCTTTATGAATTCCAAAACTAAATTTATTTTCAGAACATTTGAAAACCGAAAATTTTTGGGAGGAAATTTTAGTTAAAACGTCCTTGGGAAATATATTTTATTATCATTCAAATTTCATTCAAATTGTAAATTTCAGAAAAGTTTCGTGCAAATAGATTTAACGTGTGTATGAAAACAATAGACAGATAACCAAACTCCAAAACAAAGACGATAAAACTGAAGACCTAACTCTAAGAAATAAAAACAAAATTTTTGCAGTTTAAAAAAGTGGGTCAAAACTCGAAGAATAATATCGCAGAACATAATAAACCCGGAAATATCTGGAAAGAAAATCGTAAAACAGACATCAATATACACATCCCCCTATTTATGGCGAAAAAACGTTACTGAATTCCACGATAATACGTCTTTATTAACAAAAGGCCAAAGAACTCCCAGTTAATACAATAAGCGGCTCGAGAAAACAAAAAACAGCGACACAAAAGCGAACGAAGAAAATTAATTTTATTCGACTTTATTTTATTTATATTTGTTCATATATATTTCGTGAAAGGCGTCTAAAGCCCGAAGCTCGAATGAAGTCACTTTGATTAATCAAGTAAAATATAAATCGTTTACGCACAACAACAAACAAAGATGATGATATTACAGAATATCGATTCCGTGTAGCGCATTATGAAGTCCTTCAGAGGCTGCTCTATATCGAGTTCTATACATATTTATTACTGCCACGAGTTCTTACTTTCTCATTTTAAAATAAAGCCTCCCGGAATATTTCACTATTCTTTCGTAAATTTCCAATTTCGCCCCATCAACTAGGCACTCGCTCCCCTTTGACCTTCTCATTTAAAACAAAACAATTATTTTCTTTTTCAAAGCGGCGGAATTATTTCTTGCCGTAGGAAATAAATTCTTGTGTCTCGGAATAATTAATGAATGTCGTCCGTTCATTCAAAAAGAGATTGATCGAGCAAGTTTTTTCAGCGAAAGTAAAAAGCGGAGACACAAATCCATGGCTATTATGGCGCACTGGGGAGATTACAACAAAAAAATTATCTCGTCCACTAATCCTTCCCGTTTTAAATTTCACCTACTCCTGTCACTGGCGAATTCCGGTTCGATCCGGGATCGCTGCATCATTTATTCGTCAATCAAAAAATGTTAATCGCCCGAAAACTTGGACGCTTTGTCATAATTAAGTCGGGCTTGGAAGTACTTTTCTGGTAATTACCAAACAAAACGCGTTCTAAATTCGGCGCTTTATTGCCGTTCTTTGTAATTGGGTTTTGCCAAGTTTCACTTCTTTTGTGGGAGATAAGAGTGAAACAATACGCGGGGTTCTAAAAAAGGCTGAAGGTCGTGCAGTCGAGGGTGAAATTTGATCGAAGCGGAAATTCGTTTAGGCAATTAGCTACTTACATGTAGTTGTCTTGGAGTATGCATATCCTCACGATGCTGTAAATTGTGACGATGATCAAAGGGGCGCCCCAGCCAAGTGCGAAGAACCATTTCATGGTGACTTCGTCTCGAACGAAGACGACGACTAGGGCGAGGTGGAGGTGCAAACCCTCGCAGAACATCCACATGTAGTTTGCTAACATTAGGTAGTGAACGACGACGTGAAGGGCTTGACACCAAAGCTGCAAAGAAGGACTTTTTGACTTAAGAATTTTTTTTTTCAAAATATTGTCTAATTTTATTTAATTAAATTCACTCCTATATTTCAGCAGAAAAAATTGATCTAAAGAAGTCAGGTCAGGTCATAAAAATTTAATCAATAAAGTTAACCGATTCATTACTTGTTTTTAAAAACTTATGTAAAAAATTCATGGCATAAAAAAAATGTTTTATGACTAGAGAGCGGATTTCTAGGTTCAATGCTTTTTGTGAAAAATGTAAGCATTTCAAAACTGTTTTATATCTGTAACTATGATACAATTTGGAGCCATTTGACACATTTTTTTATGCTTATTTGCTTTTTTTTCAATTTTATGCATATTAAAACTTATATGCTTATTTAATGCTTTTTTCGACGAATATGAGTTTTAATGCATATTTTGTTCAAATGCCGGTCTTGTCGGGATGACAAATACTTGTTAGTTAGGCGTATCGTATCGTATGCATTTTACCTGGACTTGACCATTGAAGTACACTTACTCAAGACCCTTTCTGTGAATAGGTTCCGGTCGTTTGGGTAATAAAATTTTATTATAGGATTGGAAAAATACTCCATAGATTTTATGACTTTAAATACTTACTTCTGTTGATAATGAATTAAAGCTTTTAACCAGATGTTCTTTTTCGGCATTTTGCGGCAAGACCGTTGAAGATTTTTTAGAAAAAAGGATTATTGTACCCAACTACCTACCTTAAAATTTTTCTAATGGAAACTTTTAAGTAAATGAACCGTTTATTTCACAACCATCAGTCTATCGCATCTGTCGTAGTACAGTGTTATACGTGGTTCTCCCTTGTTACATGTTGAGTTCTTTTTGGTAATATTACTAATATTTTAAAAGAATGCCGAAAGTAAAATCGACGCCGGATGAGTGGATAACGGATTTTCCAGAATTAAAATTAGAAAACAACAAAATATTCTGCAGAGCTTGTGTGAAAATCGTAAGCCCACTAATTTTTTTTTTATCTATTTTCCTTTGTTAATCCTGTATATGTACGTTGTTTTAGATTCAAAGTGATAAAAAATATAACGTGACGCAACATGTCAGAACGACTCTTCATGTAGAAAGGAAGAAAATGTTTGAAGTTTCTAAAATTAAACAGCAGACCAAACATGAATCTGTTGCATCTACTTCCACAAAAGATGAGCAGTTTCAGTTTAATTTCGATTTATGTAAAATGATGATCCAGTCCAATATACCTTTAAAAAAATTTGAGAAAGGCCCTCTTCAAGAATTCCTTGAAAAACACTGCAATTGACATACTCCGGTTGAAAGTACTCTCCGAAAAAATTATGTAGGCCCAGTGTTTCAGCAAGTTTACAACGAAATTAAACATCGCATTGGAGATAATTATTTATGGTTCGCTGTCGATGAAACAACCGATAGTTGTGGAAGATACGTGGCAAGTTTAATTGTTGGAATCTTAAATGAAAATTTCCCTAGTCGAGGGTATGTAGTAAGTTTGAAAATGTTAGATAAAACAAATGGCAATACGATTACCAGATTTGTAAATGACAGTCTTACGTCACTATTTTTGCCAAATGTCGTACCGACGAATAAAATTTTATTGATGATCTCGGATGCAGCTCGTTATATGTTGAAAGCAGGGAATAATCTAAAAATATTGTACCCCAATTTAATTCACTCTATTTGCATTGCCCACGGTTTAAACAGAGTAGCTGAAGGAATACGTTTGCAGTTTCCTACTGTTAATAAATTAGTGGCAAATGGTAAAAAGATTTTTGTTAAAGCCCCACTAAGAGTGCAACATTTTAAGTAAAAATTTCCAAACACATCATTGCCCCCAGAGCCGATTATAACGAGGTGGTGAACATGGTTACAGGCCACATTTTATTATGACAAATATATCAAAGAATTTGAAGAAGTAGTTACGGAGTTTAGCGAAGATTCTTCTCAATCGATTAAAGATTGCATAAATATTTTGGAAAACAAAGATTTGCGACAAGATCTAGCTTTTCTAAGAAGCAATTATCAATTCGTATGTGAGGTAATAGAAAAGTTAGAAAAATCCAACATATTGTTGGTAGATGCCATAAACTTAGTGAAAGAATTTAAACAACAAGCAAACGCAGTAAGGGGTGATATTGGTACTAGAGTATCTCAAAAACTTGACAAAGTGTTAAATAAAAATGCAGGTTTCGGTGTTCTTTCCGACGTTGCTCGTGTTTTACAAGGCCAGAAGGTGGAAAATTTGGAGTTAGATTCAACATTAGTTGCAAAATTCAAATTTGCGCCAACAACGAGTGTGGATGTTGAACGCACATTCTCCAATTTTAAACACATTTTGAATGATCGGCGAAAAAATTTTACAGTGGACAACTTGGAACATATTACAATCATAAATTGTTTTAAAGAAAACTGAAATACGTGTGTAAAATATAAAATCTAGGATTATTGTAATCATATTTTATCCAAAGTTCCAAGAGGTGTTCTTCGATTTGTAATATGATTATGTTTTTAATGCTTTTTTGCTTAAAATAAAACTTTTTTATTGAAAATGTTGTGCTTATTTAAGCGCTTATTCTTAATTTTTTTGTGCTTATAAATCCGCTCTCTATTTATGACCCCTAGAGTACGAAAAAAAATAGGTCTCCTTTTTCCTCTGTTTATCTGTCTGTCGGTCTGTCTGTATACCGTTCGTGACGATTTTTGTTAGACATATAATCTTTTTATATATGTATTAGGCATATTGTGCAGATGCTAACCAAAATTTGGGATTTGTATATTGTTGTAACTTTCGACCAATTTTTTTCAGAATATTTTAGCTTCACAGGGTAGTCAATAGGATTATTATAATAGAACAAACCTAAGTAGGCCCACTGATCACTCATTTACAAACATTCATCTTATTGTCTAAAAAGTGAATCCTAAAATATCTACAATGATTTGCTTAAGATGGGGAGACACCTTAGCGTCTAAGTGTACTCGCTGCGCTCGTATAATAAAGGTGTGTTTTTTTAAGCCAAGAGATTTATTCCTGCAACAGAAAATAACGAACAACTTCGCCGAGACTCTTTCCTGTACATTTCTATGAGAATAAAATTTAAAAAAGAGGTTTAAAATGCGAGCGCAGCGAGCACGTTAAGGTATAATTTAAAAAAATCTCCACTGGTATTGGCGACAAGCTAAATTATCAAGAAAAATTTTGTTGTCAGTTAAAAATGTGAAGATTGCTTGCGATCACTATAATACCCCTTGGACTAAAACTTCCTGAAAGTGCTCGCTGCGCTCGCATTTTAGACGTTGATTTTAATTATTGTAATAATTGACCGTTCATTCGTGAATGGTTCTATAACACTAAATTAATTAAAAAGAGAATATTTAGAATGCAAGTGCAGCGAGCACATTTAGGTGTTTTCGATCGGTGTTCCTGGGAAGCTAAATTATTATTTATGACATAACTTAGCGTCTAAAAAATTTGAATCTTGAAAATGTTTGCGACCAGTAAAATTGGAGAGACCCCAGTAACCTGAAAGTGCTCGCTGCGCTCGCCCTTCTAACCTAGTTTTTTAAATTATCAAATAATGTAGTGAATTATTATTAAAAAAAAACCTGGACAGTTGCGCTGAGACTCTTTCCTGCTCATTTTTATGAGAATAAAGTTAAAAAAAAGGGTTAAAATACGACATAAATTAGTTTCTAACAAAAAGTGAATCTTGAAAATATTTGAGACCAATAAAATCGGAGAGACACTTGCAACCTGAAACTGCTCGCTGCGCTCGCCCTTCTGACAGTTTATTTTTAAATTAACAAATGTAGAGAATTATTGTTAGAAAAACCCTATACACTTTTGCTGAGACTCTTTCCTGCTCATTTCTATGATAATTAAGTTAAAAAAAGAGGGTTCAAATGCGAGCGCAGAGAGCACGTTCAGGAATAATTTAAAAAATTAATTATTGGTATTTCTGAGAAGCTAAATTATCAACAAAAATTTTGCTGCGCTCGCATTTTGGAGGTTGGTTTTTCAGAGTCATTTACTTTCATAGGAATCCCGAGAATTATTATAATAAAAACTAGATAGACGTGGGCGGGGCGGAGTTTAGCTTTTTTCTACAGTCTTATGATCAAGCAGCAGCCCCGCCCACTTACTTCATTTTAGTGACTACTCTCAATATTGTTCAGTCTTATTTTTGTTAAGCACTAGCCCCGCCCACCCGCCCCCTATTTTCTCACAAGCTGTCATTTCCCAAAATCAACCTTACATTGGCAGGTAAGATGCATTTTTCATTCTGAGCGGATACAATTAATCAGTGAAATAGAGGTGGGTGGGTGGGCGGGGTTAATTATATAACCTTCCGTAGAGTAGGAGTAGGAACTAATAAAACCAAGGGTATAAAAAACTAATAATAAAAGGCGGCAATTATAACTTGTTCTTGTACTATTTATTTAAGTGAGATTAACTTATTTCTGCAGTCTAATTAACAAGCAGTAGCCACGCCCACCTACTTCAATTTTAGCAACTACTCTTAATATTGTTCAGTCTTATCCGTGTAAGTACTAGCCCCGCCCAACCGCCCTCTATTTTCTCAAAAAGTGTAATCGGCCAAAATCAGTCTTATCTTAGTAAATGCTAACCCCGCTCACCCGCCCTTTTTCTAATATTATTTCTGTTCTGTATAAAATATATTTTTCATTTTGGACATATAAAAATAATCAGTGAAATAGGGATGGGGTGGGTGGGCGGGGCTAATTATACCGGGTGTCTGGAAAATGGCGGATTAACTCTCCGCTACGCTCTTAACAATCAATTGGTGAGTCTGGGAAAAACAGTAAAAAAAATCCTTCTTGCATTTTGGTGGAGTTATAATGATTTTAAAATTGGTTCTTTTGCTACGTTTAACAACTAAACAACTCATTTATTATCAGAATAACTAGTAGTAAAACATTTAGTTAATATTTTTCTGCCCCATGGCCATGTTAAATTACCATTTCAGCTAGAATGCACAAAGATATGGCTGTGTTGTTTTTGTAATAATTTGATAAAATTCCATTTGACAACAATGTTTGCCTGATATAAAGCGAAGGTGGATTTCAGTCAGCATCGTTACTAAGAAACCAGAAAGTAAGCGGGAGGTATTCACGCATTAGGTGTGTACAATGTTGCCAATTTTACGTTTATAAAATCACGTTTTATTTCGTTATCTACATTATAAAGAATTTTTTTATTATTTTTTTGGGACTCCCGAAACCCCCGTATATAACGTACTCCGCTATTTTCCAGACAGCCGGTATAATCGTCTGTAGAGTGAGAGTGGAAACTAATAGAGCCTAGGCTACAAAAAAAAAATAAATAAAAAAAAGCGGCAATTGTAACTTGTTTTGTACTATTTATTTAAGTAAGATTAACTATTTTCTGCAGTTTAATGAGCAAGCGGTAGGCCCACCTATCTAGTTTATTCTAGTAACAACTCTTATTAAAATTATTCGGTTTTTTCTTTGTAAGAACTAGCCCCTCCCACCCGCCCTCTATTTTCTCAAAAAGTGTTCAGCTGCCAAAATCAGTCTTATCTTAGCAAATGCTAGCCGCGCCCACCCGCCCTTTTTTTAATTTTATTTCTGTTCAGTTAAAACATATTTTTCATTTGAGCACATAAAAATAATCAGTGAAATAGAGATGGGGTGGGTGGGCGGGGTTAATTATGTAATCGTCTGTAGAGTGAGAGTGGAAACTAATAGAGCCTAGGCTATAAAAAAATAAAAAAAAATAGCGGCAATTGTAACTTTTTTGTATTATTTAAGTAAGATTAACTTTTTTCTACAATCTTATAAGCAAGCAGTAGGGCCGCCCACTTACTTGAATTTTAGTAACTAATCTTAACATTGTTCAGTCTTATCCTTGTAAATACTAGCCCCGCCCACCCACCCTCTATTTTCTCAAAAAGTGTCATCTGCCAAAATAACTCTTACCTTAGCAAAAGCTAGCCGCGTCCACCCTCCCTTTTCTTAATTTTATTTCTGTTCAGAATATAACATATTTTTCATTTTGCGCATATAAAAATAATCTATGAAATAGAGGTGGGGTGGGTGAGCGGGGTTAATTATTATGTAATCGTCTGTAGAGTGAGAGTGGAGACCAATAAAGCCTAGGCTAAAAAATAAATAAAATAAAAAAAAGCGGCAATTGTAATTTTTTTTATACTATTTATTTAAGTAAGATTAACTTTTTTCTACAGTCCTATAAGCTGGCAGTAGGCCCGCCCACCTACTTTAATTTTAGTAACTAATCTTAATATTGTTCAGTCTTATCCTTGTAAGCACTAGCCCTGCCCACCAGCCCTGTATTTTCTCAAAAAGTGTCATCTGCCAAAATAACTCTTATCTGAGCAAATGCTAACTCCATCTATCCACCTTTTTTCTAATTTTATTTCTGTTCAGTATAAGATATATTTTTCATTTTGGGCATATAAAAATAATCAGTGAAATAGGAATGGGGTGGGTGGGCGGGGCTAATTATATAATCTTCTCTACAGTGAGAGTGGAAACTAATAGAGCCCAGACTATAAAAAAAAATAAATAAAAAAAGTAACAATTGTAACTTTTTTTGTACTATTTATTTAAGTAAGATTAACTTTTTTCTACAGTCCTATAAATAACCAGTAGCCCCGCCCACCTACTTCAATTTTAGTAACTACTCTTAATATTGTTCAGTCTTATCCTTCTACGTACTAGCCCTGCCCACCCACCCTCTTTTTTCTCAAAAACTGTCATCTGCCAGTTTTATCTTAGCAAATGCCAGCCCCGCCTACCCGCCCTTTTCCTAATTTTATTTCTGTTCAGTATAAAATATATTTTTCGTATTGAGCATATAAAATTAATCAGTGAAATACAGATGGGGTGGGTGGGCGGGGCTAATTATTTAATCGTCTGTAGAGTGAGAGTGTAAACTAATAGAGCCTAGACTATAAAAAAATAAAATAAAAAAAGCGGCAACTGCAACTTTTTTTGTACTATTTATTTCAGTAAGATTAACTATTTTCTGCAGTTTAATGAACAAGCGGTAAGCCCGCCCATCTAGTTCATTCTAGTAACAACTCTCAATATTGTTCAGTCTTTTCTATGTGAGAATTAGCCCCGCCCACCCGCCCTCTATTTTCTCAAAAAGTGTTCAGCTGTCAAAATCAGTCTTATCTTAGCAAATGCTAGCCCCACCTTCCCTCATTTTTCCTAATTTTATTTCTGTTCACTATAAGATATATTTTTCATTTTGGCATATAAAAATATTCAGTGAAATAGGGATAGGGTGGGTGGGCGGGGCTAATTATATAATGGTCTGTAGAGTGAGAGTGGAAACAAATAGAGCCTAGGCTATAAAAAAATAAAAAAAAAATAGCGGCAATTGTAACTTTTTTGTATTATTTAAGTAAGATTAACTTTTTTCTACAATCTTATAAGCAAGCAGTAGGGCCGCCCACTTACTTGAATTTTAGTAACTAATCTTAACATTGTTCAGTCTTATCCTTGTAAATACTAGCCCCGCCCACCCACCCTCTATTTTCTCAAAAAGTGTTCAGCTGCCAAAATCAGTTTTATCTTAGCAAATGCTAGCCCCACTTACCCGCCCTTTTCCTAATTTTATTTCTGTTCATTATAAGATATATTTTTCATTTTGGGCATATAGAAATAATCAGTGAAATAGGGATGGGGTGGGTGGGTGGGTGGGGCTAATTATATAATCGTCTGTAGAGTGAGACTGGAAACTAATAGAACCAAGGCTATAAAAAATTAAAATAAAAAAAAAAGCGGCAATTGTAACTTTTTTGTACTATTTATTTAAGTAAGATTAACTATTTTCTGCAGTTTAATGAGCAAGGGATAGGCTCGCCCATCTAGTTCCTTCTAGTAACAACTCTTAATATTGTTCAGTCTTTTCTTTGTAAGAACTAGCCCCGCCCACCCGCCCTCTATTTTCTCAAAAAGTGTTCAGCTGCCAAAATTAGTCTTATCTTAGCAAATGCTAGTCCCACCTACCCACCCTTTTCCTAATTTTATTTCTGTTCAGTATAAGATATATTTTTTTTCATTTTGGGCATATAGAAATAATCGGTGAAATAGGGATGGGGTGGGTGGGCGGGGATAATTATATATTCGTCTGTAGAGTGAGAGTGGAAACTAATAGAACCAAGGGTATAAAAAAATAAAATAAAAAAAGCGGCAATTGTAACTTTTTTGTACTATTTATTTAAGTAAGATTAACTATTTTCTGCAGTTTAATGAGCAAGCGGTAGGTCCGCCCATCTAGTTCATGCTAATAACAATTCTTAATGTTGTTCAGTCTTTTCTTTGTAAAAACTAGCCCCGCCCACCTGCCCTCTATTTTCTCAAAAAGTGTTGAGCTGCCAAAATCAGTCTTATCTTTGCAAATGCTAGCCCCACCTACTCGCCCTTTTCCTAATTTTATTTCTGTTTAGTATAAGATATATTTTTCATTTTGGGCATATAAAAATAATCAGTGAAATAGGGATGGGGTGGGTGGGCGGGGCTAATTATATAATCATCTGTTGAGTGAGAGTGGAAACTAATAGAGCCTAGGCTACAAAAAAATAAAATAAAAAAGCGGCTATTGTAAATTTTTTTGTACTATTTATTTAAATAAGATTAACCATTTTCTGCAGTTTAATGAGCAAGCGTTTGGCCCACCCATCTAGTTTATTCTAGCAACAACTCTTAATATTGTTCAGTATTTTCTTTGTAAGAACTAGCCCCGCCCACCCGCCCCCTATTTTCTCAGAGATAAGCGTCATTTGCCAAAATAACTCTTATCTTAGCAAATGCTAGTCGCGCCCATCAGCCCTGTTCTTAATTTTATTTCTGTTTAGTATAAAATATTTTGAGCATACAAAATTAATCAGTGAAATAGAGGTGGGGTGGGTGGGCGGGGTTAATTATATAATCTTATAGAGTGAGAGTGGAAACCAATAAAGCCTTAGATATAGGTAATATAAAAACAATAGAAAAACAGCACTAAAGAATATGAGCACATAAATATTACACTGCAAACAAAAAACCATGGTCGCCAATGTAAGAAATTTAAGACCACGCCTTACGTATTTTGTTACTCTTCAAATAACAAACTTCGCTCGTTCCACCCCACTTTAATTTAAATAATCCAATATTCCCTCTCGGATGTATGTGCAGACGCGCAAACAGCTTCATCTTCGCACTGAAACACATCTCGAATTGGAAACACGTAAAACAAAAACCCACTTCTGCATGAGATGCAACCGACAATGCATTTCCACTCGTGCAATTCCAGTCTTTTAGCTCGACATGCCACCAGCAAATGCACGTACCAGAGACATCCAACAAACACAGTGTTTTGCGGTGTCGTATTTTTGTCTCCTCGGACCATTTTAATAAATTACCGAGCAACAGCATAATGAGTGCGGTTTCAGGACCAACCCTCGTACCTCTCCGTCACGTCACCCTCATGATTCTCATGAATATTAAACCCCCGCTCTGAATCCGGACCAACGCGCGTCTTAAAACTAGTTTACCCAGCAAATTAATTGATACCCACCTCATTATGTATAGTAACGAGAGGGTTAGGGACGACCTCCTTGTACCAGATGATCCACATAAGATTATTGAGCGCGAAGGAGATGAACAGCTGGATATGGATACGAATCCTTGTGCATTTCAACGTCCTGGAACGGGAGAGTGAACATTATTCAGGGTCGGTGGTGCGTCGACTGAGTTTATTTGTTGGAGAGGAGGGGCTTCCGGACAATATTGCCCAAGCTGTGATGCGTTTTTCCGAGATACATAATTTTATAAAGGGCGGAATCTAGGGCAAATGCATAAAAGAGTCAATATGTTCGGGTCACGTCTTAAGTTTCAAGTCTTCCGGAAAACCTTATGGGATTGTTTATTGCCTCCAGAACCTGCTCTGACAAGATTCGTTTATTGCTATTCAAAATTTTGTTGTGTAATTGTAAATTTAGATAAATATAACTCGTTTTTATCACCTATTTTGGCTTTTTTTGCCTAAAATCCGCTCTTTACTCATCAATTCTGGATGAGGGGTTTATGGAGTCGTCGACACCACTTCGGGTGTCTTAAGTGAAGGCCGGGCTTTAATTAATTCAGAAATTTAGTATGCTTGTGGTTGCGGATTATAGTGTGACCTTGGAAGAACTGGAATGTTTATCGAGCTGTTTACTCTTGCGGAAGTTTGCAAATCCTGGAGATTAAGGACAATCCGCCAAGTGAGGGGAGTAATGAAGTTAAGACAATGACGCTTAATTAATTCGGATGGGACGGTCCGGAATATCATAATTTTGGCACTAAACGGGAGACATTTATTTATTTAAACGATACGATTTTTTTTAATGCATTCCATATTTATGGACCACTCTTGTTTATAGTCGTAATAGAATAACTTCACTAAACTCAATTGACCACATCTATGCCGCAGCTACCACACCTGGTGTTTTATTTACTATCATATTTCCACATCTAGCCCCACAACTAAGAACTTTATTTTCGTTTAACACAGGCAATAAAGTCGTTCACGACCACTCCAACAAATAAAATAGAACGACGATTCCGCTTAAGTTAGTTCTACTTACCGGAAGGTGAAAAATATGGCGAGCGAAATAACTAGTGCCGCCAGCGATATCGAATATCCAATAACAAAGAGGTGATTTATGTGAGTTCTAAACTGAAAACGAAGCCGAATAATTTCGATAATAAAAGTGAAAGTGTCGTCTTACAGCTAAGTCTTCGTGATCCACGCACGTCGTGTAATTGGTCCAGACTTTTCCGGAAACCGGATGTGTAAACCAGGAGCCATTTTCTAAGCATACTTTAAACGCCAGTCGCCTGGAGTCAAATCCCATCCTTTTTGGACATGATTGATTCGCTGTGGTTCCGGAGAGGGTCTCCGGCCAGCACAGCTCCTCGTCGAAAATTTCCGGACAATATCCTGGAATTTATAAATATTTTTACCTGTAGATTGCGATAAGAGTGGCGGCCACAAAATGTGTACGAAATGGTTGTAGAACTCAAATCGTGCCACATTAAGTTAGTCAAAACAAACCGAAGTCCGAAAATATTTTCTGGGTGCTTAGAAAGCGAGTTTATTGAGGCGGAACCGATAGCAAAGGGATGAGATATTTTATTGTAGTTATTAGATGTAACAGAAAGCAGAGGCGCGAGTGGAGTGTTAATTTTGTTAAGACCGCAGCAGAATGGCGAATTCTGACGGGAATTTCTGCGTGGAATGAAAATGTTCAATTTAGACGAAAACATGTGCTTAATATCTTAAGCGTAGCCAAAGAATGCAAGTTGAACCGAGAAAATAATCACAAATGTTCGTGAACTTTTTGTTCAGAACAAAAGTATAGTGAAATTTAACAACAATACTTACAATATCTCGGAAACCAGCTGTAGTATCTAGTTTAGATTATTTTGGCTAATAGAGGTATCATTCCTACGTAAATACGATTTTTTTCAGAATTTTTGGCTATCCAGTTTTCCCGAAGTTGTGTGAAACCGTTCATAAGTCGTAACAAAAATGGTGCTATTGCTCTAATAAATCCAACTTTTGGGCTACTTTCCATAAGTGCAATTTTTCAATAGTTGGTTTCGTTGATTTCTAGATACAAAAGTTTTTTATGAACCGTCAAAATTAAATATGACAAATTTTCAGACATTCTAAAAATTTGATTTTAAAATCCAGTTTTTCGAAAACCGATTGCCGTATTTAGTTTAGGTGATTTTGCCTGATGAACGTATCATTCCTACACAGTCACGATTTTTTTCATAATTTTTGGCCACCCGGTTTTCCCGAAGTTGTGTTAAACAGTTCACAACAAAAATTCTACGATTGCTTCGGTATCTTCGAAGTTCGTCTGCAATCTTTGTGCGAGATAATAAACAGGCTGTTTTACGATAAACTTCATCTAAATCCATCTCGTAATATTTTTTTGTAGGTTTTTGGACTACTTTATCAAAAATTTAATTTTTCAGTAGATACGAAAAATGAAATTTTGATCTCTTCTGGAACATTTTCTTAAGTTGCTAGAGAGTTGCTTTTGTTGATTTCTACATACAAAAGTTTTAACGGTTTTATTTTTGCGATTTTTTTTCAGTTTTTCCTGAATTGTCAAAATTAAATATGAAAAATTTTGAAACATTTTAAAAATTTGACTTTGAAATCCAGTGTTTCGAAAACCGGCTGCCGTATCTAATTTAGGTCATTTTCCCTGCACAGACACGAAGTGTTAAACAGTTCATAACAAAAATGCTACGATTGCTCCGGGATTTTCGATGTTCGTTTACAATCTTGGTCCGATATCTTTTTGGACTGAACTGATCTAAAAACTTGTCCCAGTATTTTTTTAGATATTTGAGCTACTTCCCCAAAAACCTATTTTTTCAAATCGTTCGAAATATGAAATTTTTAATCGTTTTCAGCACAATTTCGAAAATTACCCAAAAAGTTGGTTTTGTTGATTTCGATATCCAAAAGTTTTTTATGGATTCATCCCTTCGATTCCTCAATTTTCTGATGTTTCAATGATACGATCTCTCAATTTTTGTCCTCTTCAGGGTGTTTAACTATTTGGATTTTTCAGTTTTTCAAATTTTGACGGTTCTAAATTTTCAGTTTTCCGATTTCTGAAGTATTTTTTTTTTATTTTCCCAATTTGTCGAGTTTCAAAAGTTTCGATCATTCACTTCTTCAATTCCTCAATTTTTCGACTTTTCAGGTTTTTGATTTTTCAATTTTTCGATTTCTCAAGTTTCCAATTTTTTTATTTCTCAGTTTTTTGGATATTTATTTCAGTTTTGGGATTTATCAATATTGCGAGTTTTAGAATTTTCGATTTTTGGACTGTTGGATTTTTTTGATTTCTCGATTTTTTCATTTTTGGATTTTCAGTTTTTCGTTAAACATTAGATGTTTCAATTTTTCGACTATTTTACATTTTCCGTTATTAAAATTCAAGGTTTTTCGATTTCTCGGTACGAAATATGGTTTTTTGATAATTTCTAAAAATTTCGATATTTCAATGGCCGATTCTAGAAAAACGGTTGCAGTTATCAAACAAACGAGACCGGAAGTGAGTTCCAGAGTTTGAAATCTACAAGAAAATGTATTTAGTTAAATTTCGAAAATGTCAAAAATTGGCCGAAATTTGAAGAGATCATTGAAAAAAATTTCACTTTTAAAAAGTTGTCTAAAAATTCTGAAAATGGTCAGGACACGTCAGGTCAGGACACGTCAATTATTTAATTTCTTAATTTTGGGATATTTCGTTCAATTTTGCAATTTTTTAGTTTTTCGGTTTTTCAATTTTTCATTTATTTTTCAATTTTTCGATATTTGAGTTCCGGATTTTTCAATTTTTCGACTTTTTACTTTTTGGATTTTCAATTTTCCGTTTTCTAAACTTTAGATTTTTCACTTTTTTGACTCTTTTATACTTGGATTTCTCAATTTTTTAACTTTTCGATATTTCATCTTTTCAGTTTTGTAGGTTTTTCGATTGCTCGAGTTTTCAGTTCTTCTATACTTCAATTTTTCAATTTTCGATTTCCCAGTTTTTCGATGTTTTGATTTTCCAAGTATCCGATTGTTCAATTTTTTGATTTTTAAATTTTAGATTTTCCACTTTTTATTTTTTTAATTTTTTTCATGTTTGGATTTCTCGATTTTACAATTTTTCGATATTTGAATTTTTCAATGTTTTAAATTTTAGATTTTTCGATTGCTCGATTTTTCAGTTCTTCAATATTCCTATTTTTAAATTTTTCGACTTTTTGATTTTTAGATTTCCCGGTTTTTAAGTTTTCGATTTCTCAATTTTTTCAACATTATTAGTTTTGGGAACTTTTCAATTTCTGTTTTTTTTTAATTTTTCGAATTTTAAAATTTTTATGTGATTTTTTGAAAATTTTTAAAAATTTCGATTTTTCAACGGCCAATTCTGGGAAAACGGTTGCAGTTATCAAAGAAACGAGGCCGGAAGTGAGTTCTAGAGCTCGAAATCTACAAGAAAATGTATTTAGTTAAGTTTCGAAAATGTTAAAAATTGGCCGAAATTTGAAGAAGGGGAGAGCATTGAAAAAAATTTCACTTTTAGAAAAGTTGTCTAAAAATTCTGAAACTGCTCAAGACAGGTCAAGGCAAGTCAATTTTTTAATATCCTAATTTTTGGATATTTCGTTCAGTTTTGTAATTTTTGAGTTTTTGAATTTTTCAATTTTTCTTTTATTTTTCAATTTTTGGATATTTGAGTTTGGGATTTTTTAGTATTTCGACTTTTCGATTTTTCGAGTACTGGATTTTTCAATTTTTCGACTTTTAATTTTTTGGATTTTATGTTTTCCATTTTTTAAACTTTAGATTTTTCAATTTTTCAACTTTTCGATATTTTCAGTATTTAAAATTATAGATTTTTCGATTTCTCGAGTTTTCGGTTCTACATTTCAATTTTTCAATTTTCGCAATTTTAAAATTTTCGATTTCCCAATTTTTCGATGTTTCGATTTTTCAAGTATCCTATTGCTCAATTTTTCGATTTTTAAATTTTAGATTTTCCAATTTTGTGATAATTGAATTTTTCAATGTTTCAAATTTTAGATTTTTTGATTTCTCGATGTTTCAGTAATCTAATAATCTTTCTATTTTTCAGTTTTTGATTTTTGAATTTTGCCATCTTGTTTTTTCGGTTTTTAAAATTTTACGACTTTTTGATTTTTAGATTTCCCGATTTTTAAGTTTTTGATTTCTCAATTTTTTCAATGTTATCAGTTTTGGGAACTTTTCAATTTCTGTTTTTTTTAATTTTTCGAATTTTAAAATTTTTGTTTCTTCGATAATTCAATTTTTCAATTTTTTGCTTCCTTTTTTACTCGATAATTATAGTTTCCTTTGAACAGAATTTGGTAGGAACATGATTGTAATTTCTTGTAAAGAAATAAGTATTTTGCAGTTAAGCTTCGTCCCCTTGGTTCACAGCGAATAAAAAAAATCATTACAATTGAGACAGGGTGGGTGGGCGGGGCATATAGTTGGTTTTTGTTTTTCTTAATGTAAGTAGTTTTTTCAATACAAGAAACTTAAAACGTGTTAAAAATGGTAAATTTTGCAGGGAAATATGGATTTTGCGATTATGCTAAAAATTTTCCCGCATCTCCAAAATGAAATGTGACGAAATTTGAAATATTTTAAAAATACGACTTGAAAATCCAGTACATATTTCGAAAACCAGCTATCATATCCATTTTAGATGATTTTGTCTGATAGACATATTATTGTTGGGAAAACACCATTTTTTTCATAATTTTTATACATACAGTTTTCCCAAAGTTGTGTTAAACAGTTCATAACAAAAATCCGACGATTGCTTCAGGATTTTCGAAGTTCGTTTGCAATCTCCGTCCGATATGTTTTTAGACTAAACTCATCTAAATCCTTGTCGTAGTATTTTTTGTATATTTTTAGGTACGAAATATGAAATTTTTAATCGATTTCCGAAGATTTTCGAAAATTTTTCAAAAAGCTTGTTTTGTTGATTTCGATACCCAAAAGTTTTTTATGGCTTCATTCCTTCGAAAATTCCTTCAGTTGTTCCCGAATCTCCAAAACGAAATATGACGAAATTTGTAATATTTTATAATTTTGTCTTTAGAATCTAGTATTTTGAGAACCTGCTTCCGTATATAGTTTAGACGATTTTGCCTAATAGACAAATCATTTTCTGCGAAAACACGATTTATTTTCATAATTTTATCCATACAGTTTTCCCTAAGTTGTGTTAAACAGTTCATAACCAAAATCCTACGATTGCTCCGGAATTTTCGATGTTCATTTGCAGTCTTGGTGCGGTATTGTTTTGGATTAAACTGATCTAAATACTTGTCCCAATATTTTTCGTAGATATTTGAGCTACTTCTCCAAAAACTCATTTTTTCAATAGGTACGAAATATGAAATTTTTAATCGTTTTCCGAAGATTTTCGAAAACTTTTCAAAAAACTGGTTTTGTTGATTTCGATCCCCAAAAGTTTTTTATGGCTTCATTCTTTCGAAAATTCCTTCAGTTGTTCCCGAATCTCCAAAACGAAATATGACGAAATTTGTAATATTTTATAATTTTGTCTTTAGAATCTAGTATTTTGAGAACCTGCTTCCGTATATAGTTTAGACGATTTTGCCTAATAGACGTATCATTTTCTGCGAAAACACGGTTTCTTTTCATAATTTTATCCATACAGTTTTCCCTAAGTTGTGTTAAACAGTTCATAACCAAAGTCCTACGATTGCTCCGGAATTTTCGATGTTCATTTGCAGTCTTGGTCCGGTATTGTTTTGGATTAAACTGATCTAAATATTGTTCCAGTATTTTTCATAGATATTTGAGCTATTTCCCCAAAAACTCATTTTTTTCAATAGGTACGAAATATGAAATTTTTAATCGTTTTCCGAAGATTTCCGAAAATTTCTCAAAAATCTGGTCTTGTTGATTTCGATCCCCAAAAGTTTTTTATGGCTTCATTCCTTCGAAAATTCCTATAGTTGTTCCCGAATCTCCAAAATGAAATGTGACGAAAGTTAAAATATTTTAAAAGTTTGACTTGGGAATCCAGTATTTAAAAATCAGCTGCCGTATCTATTTTAGATGATTTTGTCTGATAGACATATTATTGTGTTAAAACACAATTTTTTTTATAATTGTTATTCATACAGTTTTCCCGAAGTTGTGTTAAACAGTTCATAACAAAAATTCTAAAGTTGATTAGCGATTTTTGATGTTTTTGGCAGTCTTTTTTTTCACATTTTCGTACTTTCGGTAAATCTTTAATCAAAAAGAAAAACACCAAGGACGTAAAGTCGACCCTTGAGCACTTGGTACGTTTGAATAGGGTACTCAAATCCATATCAAGTACAGGATAAAAGTTATCTCGCTCAACAAGAGGATAATCCGATGTTGTGACACCACAGCTAAGATTAGCAAATACTAAATCTGACAGCTGACAGCTGTTCTAACATCATTAAGTTATCTAGTTTTTGGTTTAAATAACTAATTAGTTACTGTGATACTGAGTGCTCAGATGTTCAATGACACTGTATCAGTGGCAGGTAAAATCCCGTGTCGAGGACGTATACTTCCAAAAATTTCGCCGTATTTAAAATTCATCCAGTAATATTTGTATTTGTCTGGTATTGATTAAATGGAGATATTTATAAAATGGCGCTGTTTTTTAATACCACAAAATGTATTTTCACCTTTTACAGTTTTATTATTAGCTTTTTTTACCAGCTTTTGTGAAGGTTATTGTTCTTTGTTTCCCTGGATTTGATGCCTCCAGCTTTTATAAACAGTGAAAAACACATGCTTTTGAATAATAAATTCGGTTTGTTAATGTACGTTACAACCGTCTATTTTTAAGCACCATATGATTAAACTTTCAATACCTTTCAATACCCAATTCTCAAATATCAGAAATTTTGGGAGTAGTATTTTTTGTATATTTTTAGGTACGAAATATGAAATTTTTAATCGATTTCCGAAGATTTTCGAAAATTTTTCAAAAAGCTTGTTTTGTTGATTTCGATACCCAAAAGTTTTTTATGGCTTCATTCCTTCGAAAATTCCTTCAGTTGTTCCCGAATCTCCAAAACGAAATATGACGAAATTTGTAATATTTTATAATTTTGTCTTTAGAATCTAGTATTTTGAGAACCTGCTTCCGTATATAGTTTAGACGATTTTGCCTAATAGACAAATCATTTTCTGCGAAAACACGATTTATTTTCATAATTTTATCCATACAGTTTTCCCTAAGTTGTGTTAAACAGTTCATAACCAAAATCCTACGATTGCTCCGGAATTTTCGATGTTCATTTGCAGTCTTGGTGCGGTATTGTTTTGGATTAAACTGATCTAAATACTTGTCCCAATATTTTTCGTAGATATTTGAGCTACTTCTCCAAAAACTCATTTTTTCAATAGGTACGAAATATGAAATTTTTAATCGTTTTCCGAAGATTTTCGAAAACTTTTCAAAAAACTGGTTTTGTTGATTTCGATCCCCAAAAGTTTTTTATGGCTTCATTCTTTCGAAAATTCCTTCAGTTGTTCCCGAATCTCCAAAACGAAATATGACGAAATTTGTAATATTTTATAATTTTGTCTTTAGAATCTAGTATTTTGAGAACCTGCTTCCGTATATAGTTTAGACGATTTTGCCTAATAGACGTATCATTTTCTGCGAAAACACGGTTTCTTTTCATAATTTTATCCATACAGTTTTCCCTAAGTTGTGTTAAACAGTTCATAACCAAAGTCCTACGATTGCTCCGGAATTTTCGATGTTCATTTGCAGTCTTGGTCCGGTATTGTTTTGGATTAAACTGATCTAAATATTGTTCCAGTATTTTTCATAGATATTTGAGCTATTTCCCCAAAAACTCATTTTTTTCAATAGGTACGAAATATGAAATTTTTAATCGTTTTCCGAAGATTTCCGAAAATTTCTCAAAAATCTGGTCTTGTTGATTTCGATCCCCAAAAGTTTTTTATGGCTTCATTCCTTCGAAAATTCCTATAGTTGTTCCCGAATCTCCAAAATGAAATGTGACGAAAGTTAAAATATTTTAAAAGTTTGACTTGGGAATCCAGTATTTAAAAATCAGCTGCCGTATCTATTTTAGATGATTTTGTCTGATAGACATATTATTGTGTTAAAACACAATTTTTTTTATAATTGTTATTCATACAGTTTTCCCGAAGTTGTGTTAAACAGTTCATAACAAAAATTCTAAAGTTGATTAGCGATTTTTGATGTTTTTGGCAGTCTTTTTTTTCACATTTTCGTACTTTCGGTAAATCTTTAATCAAAAAGAAAAACACCAAGGACGTAAAGTCGACCCTTGAGCACTTGGTACGTTTGAATAGGGTACTCAAATCCATATCAAGTACAGGATAAAAGTTATCTCGCTCAACAAGAGGATAATCCGATGTTGTGACACCACAGCTAAGATTAGCAAATACTAAATCTGACAGCTGACAGCTGTTCTAACATCATTAAGTTATCTAGTTTTTGGTTTAAATAACTAATTAGTTACTGTGATACTGAGTGCTCAGATGTTCAATGACACTGTATCAGTGGCAGGTAAAATCCCGTGTCGAGGACGTATACTTCCAAAAATTTCGCCGTATTTAAAATTCATCCAGTAATATTTGTATTTGTCTGGTATTGATTAAATGGAGATATTTATAAAATGGCGCTGTTTTTTAATACCACAAAATGTATTTTCACCTTTTACAGTTTTATTATTAGCTTTTTTTACCAGCTTTTGTGAAGGTTATTGTTCTTTGTTTCCCTGGATTTGATGCCTCCAGCTTTTATAAACAGTGAAAAACACATGCTTTTGAATAATAAATTCGGTTTGTTAATGTACGTTACAACCGTCTATTTTTAAGCACCATATGATTAAACTTTCAATACCTTTCAATACCCAATTCTCAAATATCAGAAATTTTGGGACGTAAATCCGACGACGTTGTTTTAATTTGGCAAAAATTAATTTAAATCTGCTCTCTCCCTGTTCCGTTGCGCGTCTCTGGCGACGCCTCTGGTTTATATTAAGTCAGTGTTAAATGAAAGCTTGACCTGAATGGATAATTAAATGTGTACACAAAACTTTCCAAAGGCTCTTTTAATTAGAGATCGCTTCACGGCGAAAATTGCTACCTTTCAGCAGGAAAAAAAAGACTCGTTCTGTCCACACAAAAGCCAGGCTTTTCCTTATTATTATTTTTGTGTCAAGAGCGAGACCCGGATTAAATTAAATGATTTTTTTTTATAATATTGATTTTTAATTTGATACTCGGCAAGAATTCGGTTTCAAATTTCCGCGCTGAAAGTGTCTTATAAACACCATTAGCTGAGTAAACATTGCTCACCAGGTTTCGTATAGTTTCCATTACTGCAATTAGCTCCATTTGTTGTGTCCATTGTTGGCCGAAAAGTCCTGCAACAGAACGAATTCTAGTAAATATACAGATTTGGCTCAAAATACGAGCATCAAAATTAATAAACCGTCCCTCAAATATTTAATAAAGACTAAATTAAATCAATAAGTCAATACCCCCTGCAAATAATAATTAATGCAAATTGGTCATGATCAAGGCCTCGTCAGATTTCGCTCCCCTGTCATCCAATCTCCTCCACCGACGTCATTTAAGCTTTTAATTTAATCCGCGCTGTTTATTTACGGCCCAGCTAAAATAAAGGTTTTTACGTGTGCAGGATTATGTTACAGGCCAAAAATAGCTTAAAATCGAGTGTAAAAAGGCAGTTCGTTGCGAAAAATTTAGGTGTTGGTGATGTTAGTCCGACGTGAATTATGGCCACTTTGCATACGTGCATTTCGCGATTTTCCCGAAACGTATCAGGATTAGGCGAAAGCTGGCATTATCCTGAAAACTAGACTTCAGACACGTATGGTATGAACTATGGATGCACCAAGCATAAACTTCGCCGAATACAAGGTTACTTAGACAGAATTCCTCGCCCCTGAAGAACACTCCAATTAATGTTTTTTCGAAATGTTATAACATTTTCTATTTTTTCATTTTTCCAACTTTGCATTTTAGATTTTTCAGTTTTTTGATTTTTGAATTTTTAGATTTTTAAAATTTTCCATTGTTTAATTTTTTGATTTTTCCATTTTTCGGATTTTTCAATTCTTCGATTTTTCAATTTTTCCATTTCTGAGTTTATCAAGATTTCGATGTTTCTCTTTTGATTGTTCAATTTTTAACTTTTCGATTTTGGCCTGTTTCGATTCATCAATTTTTCGAATTTTCGGTTTTTTGATTTTTGACTTTACGGCTTTCCCATTTTTCGATTTTCTCATTACTGGATGTTTCGATTTTTTAAAATTTCGATTTCTTGCGATTTTTGACTTTTAATTTTTAAATTTTTCGGTTGTTAATTTTTCCATTTTTCTATGATTCAATTTTTTAATTTTTTGTTTTTTTGATTTTTCGATGTTTCGATTATTACAAAATTTCGATTTCCCAATTATTTGCCATTTTAGTTTTTTTTCCAGTTTTTCGATTATTCATTTTACCAGTGTTTCAATTTTTGCGCTTTTTTAAAGTTTAAAATCGTTTTCTCGATTTCTCGGTTTTTCGTTTTTTCGACCTTTCGATCTTTCAATTTTTCGATTTTTTAATCTTAGATTTTACAATTTTTCAATTTTTCACTTTTTTGAGATTTCAGTTTTTCGATATTTAATTTTACAATTTTTTAAATTTCCGATTTTTCGATTTGTCAGTTCCTTGATATTTCTTTTTTCAATTTTTCAATTTTACGATTTTTTAATGTTTCGGTTTGTTGATATCTCGATTTTTTGATTTTTCTATCACTGAATTTTCCAAGTTTCCAGTTCCTCAATTTTGCAACAATTCAATTTTGAAATTATTAAATTTTTTGGTATTTTCGATTTTTCGGTTTTTCTTTTTCCCAGTTTTTCAATTCTTTAATTTTTCGGTTCTTCAAACTTACGAAACTTTTGAATTTTTTATTTTTTCGATGTTTCAGTTTTACGATTTTTCAATTTTTCGACCCTTCAATTATTAGACTTTAAAATTTTTGACGTTTCAAAATTTTTAATTTTTGATTTCTTAAATTCTCCACTAATCGATTTTCTATTTTTCCCACTTCTCGATTTTTCGAATTTTCAATGTTTCGGTTTTTCAGTTTCTCAATTCCTCAATTCTTCGATTTTTTAAATTTTTGATTTTTCGATGTTTCAGTTATGGGATTTTTCAATTTTCCGGTTCTTCACTTTTTCTTCCATTTTTCAATGTAAGAATTTTCGATGTTTCGATTTTTCGATTTCTTGGTCCCGATTTTTCGATGTTACGGTTTTTCAGTTTTTCGATTTCCAAATTTTTCCTCAGTTTTTGAATTTATTAACTTTTACAATTTTTTAATTTTGGATTTTCTTCTTCTCGCTATCTCGGTTTTTCGATTTATCGATATTTTAATGTTTCAATTTTTAAAATTTTTGATTTTCCGATTTCTCAATTTTTCGATTTTTCGACTTCTTGACTTTTAGATTTCTTAATTTCTCGATCTTTTGATGATTCAATTTCTCGATGTTTCAGTTTTAGAAGTTTTCAAAGTTTCGGTTTCTCGATCTGTCGAGTTTTCGTGTTCTCGGTTTTAGATTTTTGGGTTTTTCAATTTATGGAGTTTTAAAATTTTTGACTTTTTGATTTCAATTTTTTTTCCATTTCTCAGATTTCTATGTTCTGATTTTTTATTGTACGATATCTCGATTTTTCGACTTCTGGAGATTTCTCGATTTTTCCCTTTTCGATATTTAATTTTGCAACTTTTTAAATTTCAGATTTTTCGATTTTTCAGTTTGTCTATTTTTCAATTTTCCGATTTTACAAATTAAATTTTTGGTGTTTCGGTTTCTTGATATCCTGATTTTGCGATTTTAAAAATTTTTTTATCATTCAATTTTTAGATTTCTCGATTTTTCAAGTTTACGGTTTCTCAAGTTTACAACATTTCAATTTTGGGACAATTTGAATTTTTTGGTATTTTCGATTTTTCGGTTCTTTGATTTCTCGATTTCCCAATTTTTCAATTCTCCAATTTCTCGGTTTTTCAAGTTCTCGAAATTTTCGAATTTTTCATTTTTCTGATGTTTCAGTTTTACGATTTTTCAATTTTTGTTTCTTTAATTTTTGACATCTCTAAATTTTACATTTTTCATTTCTTAATTTCTCGATAAATCGATTTTTTAAGTTTTCCACTTCTCGATTTTTCAACTTTTCAGTAATTCGATTTTTCAGTTTCTCAATTGTTCAATGTTTCATTTTATGAATTTTTCGATTTTTCAGGTTTTTGAATTTTCGATTTTTTACATTTTCGGTTTTTCGACTGCGACTTTACGACTTTTTGATTTCTCAATTTTTAATTTTTCGATTTCTTGGTTTCCCAATTTTTCGATGTTCCGATTTTTCAATTTTTCGCTTTCTAAATTTTTCTTCATTTCAGTTTTAGAATTTATCACCTTTGGATTTTCGTTTTCTCGATTTCTCAGTTTTTCTATTTTTCGATTTTTTGATGTTTCCATATGTTGATTTTACCATTTTTCGACATTTTAATTTATCAATTTTTAAATTTTAGATTTTTACGTTTTTGGATGTTTCGATTTCTTGATCTTTCGAGTTTTCGACTTCTCAGTTTTAGATTTTTTGGTTTTTCATTTTTACGATATTTAACATTTTGGATTTTTCGATTTTTGTTTATTTCGATTCGTCAATTTTTTGATTTTTTGACTTCTCGACTTTTTGATTACTCGGTTTTCCGACTTTTGATTTTTCAATTTATCAATTTTAATTTTTTTGATTTTTTAATTTCTCAGTTGTTCAATTTTTCGATTTTTGAATTTTTTAATTTTTCAGATTCTTGATTTTTTGATTTTTTACATTTTCGATAATTCGACTTCGAGTCTACGGTTTTTTGGTTTCTCGATTTTTAGTGTTTCGATGGTTCAGTTTTGGGATTTTTCAGTTTTTTGGTTCTTCACTTTTTCTTACATTTTTCAATGTTTCAGTTTTCGAATTTTAAAATTTTTCATCATTTCTGTTTTGAAAATTTTCAATTTTTGCGATTTATTAAATTTTGGATTTCCGTCTTCTAGACTTTTCGGTTTTGTCCATCAATATTTCATTCTTCAATTTTTCGAAATTGTAAATTGATTTTTCAGTCTTTCTCGATGTTCCGATGTTTCAATTTTTTGATTTCCCGATTCCTCGATTTTTCGGTTTCACAGCTTTTCGAATTTAAATCTTAGTTTTTGAATTTTTTGAGTTTTTGATGTTTCGATTTCTTGATTTTACAGTTTTTGAATTTTTTGAGTTTTTGATGTTTCGATTTCTTGATTTTACAGTTTTTTGATATTTTGATTTTTCAATTTTTAATTTTAGATTTTTTAGTTTCTGGATGCTTCGATTTTTCGACTTCTGGGTTTTAGATTTTTCGGTTTTTCACTTTTACGATTTTTAACATTTTTGAATTTTCGATTTTTCAGTTTTTCGGTTCCTAAATTTTGCAATTCTTCAGTTTTATTGTTTAATTTCACGATTTTTTATTTCTTCAAACCTTCGATTTAACGACTTTTTTTGTTTTAAATTTATTAATTTTTCAATTTTAACTTTTCGATTTTTCGATTTTGGTCCACTTCGATTCCTCAGTTTTTTGATTTTTCGACTTTTCGATTACTTGGTTTTTCGACTTTTAATCTTCCAATGTTGTATGATTTTTCAATTTTTCGACTCATCAATTTTTCAATTTTTGACAGTTCTAAATTTCCAGTTTTTTGATTTTTCAATCTCACAATTGTTCAATTTTTCGATTTTCGAATTTCTCAATTTTTCAAGTTTTTGATTTTTCGGTTTTTTATATTTTCGATTTTTCGACTTCGATTCTATGACTTCTTGATTTCTCGATTTTTCAATGTTTCGATATTTCAGTTTTGGAATTTTTCAGTTTTTCGCTTCTTCACTTTTTCTTTCATTTTTCAATCTTTCAGTTTTTGAATTTTTCGATGTTTCGATTTTTCGATGTTACAGTTTTTCTGTTTTTCGATTTCCAAATTTTTCCAGTTTTTCGATTTATCAAATTTTATAATTTTTTAATTTTGGATTTTCTTTTTCTCATTATCTCGATTTTTCGATATTTTAAGTTTCCAATTTTATAAAATTTTGATTTTCCGATTTCTCGATTTCTGGTTTTTTCAATTTTTGATTGTTGATTTTTCGATTTTAGCCTATTTCGATTTCTCAATTTTTCGATTTTTCGAGTTCTTGACTTTTAGATTTCTCAATTTCTCGATGTTTTTATGTTCCAATTTCTCGATGTTTCAGAGTTTTTATATTTTTGGAGCTCTCGCTTTTAGATCTTTCGGTTTTTCAATTTTTCGAATTTTAAATTTTTTCC